AGGACAAGCTTTTGCCTCCAGAAAAATCTGATATTGTTGAATTATTTAAAAAATCACAACAGTATAGGACGTGCTTTATGGCAGACACTTCACCGCCCCGCTTCTTGACGCGATTATCTCTGCATTACTCTTCTTGTGCTGCGGCCAGTCAATTTTTCCGGGATTTTGGAGACAAAATACAGACATTCGATATCGTTGCTGTTCATGTTTCCTCTTCTAAGGCTCTTAATCATGCGAGTGAACTTAATAACATTGACCTTATTTCTCCAAATATTTCAAAGCCAACTGACTTTCGTATATCCAGCAAGCACCTCTCATTATTCTTATCTCACGGTGTCCGTATCGAAATAAATTATTCCCCATTACTTCAGGTTGGAAATCCAGGCCAAGTTGCAATATCTGGGTTAGCCTCCGTGTTCGGACATTTATTTTCTATCTCCCGCCGACATATCTCCAATTGCCTAGTCTTCAGTTCAGGTGCTGTGCATCCTTGGGAAATTAGAAGACCCCTAAGTATGCTTAGCGTTTTTTCTTGCCTTGGACTACAGCTACATCGCACTGCCTTTTTGGCCTTCACAAATAATCCATTTGCTGCAGTTGCTCATGGGCTTTCTAGGTCACAAACAGCTCTTGGTGTGTCTACCTATCTCCGACTTCTAAATGACCCAACTGTAATTGATATAATACCTTTAAGACGTGCAATTGATCTTGCATCTGACCAGGGTCCCGACGAAAAAAGGACGAAATGGGAAGTTGAAATTGCCTAATCAGTATCAATGATAGTTAACAGAATTTGTTGGCCTGCTTTGAATATACGATATCGAGGAACTTCATTTTCTGTCTCGCTCCAAATACTCTTTTACATTGTACATATATAACAAGCTTGTTTTATACTTTATTAACATTTGGGAAGTCGCGTGCCTTGATTTAGTCGTCTTTTGTTTTTGGTCCTGTTTTCTGGGGTATATTATTTCGCAGCATTCGTTTCGTTATAGAACAAGCAAAAATCTCATCATAGCAATTATGCTGGCCACTCTGCGAACAAAAAACATCTAAAATGCTCCATCTCTAAATCGAGGGCATTTCTAAATGACTCCCATAACAATAGCGCATATGCCCTATTCAGCGCCTGTAAAGCTTCTGATGCAAACGTTGCACTCAACTACTCTTGTAGAAATTAACTTTTCTGAGAATTGTTAGCAAGGAACTTATCTGACTGTCAATTACATCAAAATATTTATCTACTCGATTCTCGCAGCATTCTTAATGCTGGTCACCACCGCTCATTTGGATGAAGGCTCAGACAGCCCTTCCCCTCAAACTTCGTCTTCAAGCTTCTCTTACTGCCGTTGAATCTCACTTAACCTTTCCCATATTGGACTGTAGCTTTACCTCGCCCAAGTCTCATTATTGCCCCGAGCGAAGTTCTAAACCAGCTTGAGTTCACTGTATCAATAAGCAAGAGGCCAAATACAATATTCAGGCCTCTCCCAACTCATTCTATATTGGCTTTGTCGGTTAAGTAAATGTGTTTGGGGCATTTCGGTGGACCGCGTTGCTAACGCTTGGTATAGGTAGCCTTCATGATTCAGCAATTCTCAATTATCAAACTATTGAATTGGTAAACGTCGCCACGGCACCCATGCTTTAGTAGCCAGCACTGGGAGGGATCGAAACTTCTGCCCACCGGATGAGCGAAGCTTTTGTAAAGCGTGGCTAATTGTAACCCGATAGCATCGTGAGATCTACTAATTGTGGGAAAATTATCAGTCCTTAAAATCACCCTAAGCGACCAGGGAAGTCTAGTTTTTTATTCAAGACCTTTTATGCTGGCTTATTCGGTCTAAGCTTTGATTATGGATTATTTAACTTATATCAGCGTAGTGTCTTGTGTTTATTTATCTTGGGAAAGTTTCGCAACCATTGATGCTCCTATTTACATTTCTTTACTAGCACATTTTGATTAAGCAGCTATAGCTTAGCACCTGTATGAGACATTCCTACTTTTCGCTTATACATACCATATATCTTAATCATTCCTAGCCGTTTCATGCTTCTGTATCCCTACATGCGATCTTTATTTTACTGTTAGCTAAATTACATAACGGGAAGCGCTACTTAGTCGGCAGTTGAAATAACAGTGGACGGATGCGGGGCTTCGAATTTTATCCTTAAATAATGTCGATATTAAAAGTAGCAGACCTTACGCTGTGAAGAGACCTTGATTACTTTCCTCTCCCAAAGTCAACTACCTGACGCCTGTTTTCATTACTTATTAATCTGCTAGTATCTTCCTGGACGCCTACTTATAAATATTTTAATCGAAGTTGTAAAGACTTAGATGATGTAGCCATTAGTAT